ATGATCCTCTTAAAAGCTTAGGGCAGGATGGATCTTCAACATCTGATATCCTAGGATTGACTTCAGCAGAGGTCTGACTGCTTTTATGAATCAGTCCTGAGCTGATGTCCAGGAAGTACAATATTTTCTGAATAGTTACCCAGCATGTCAGACACAAATCTTGCCTACAATCCACTTCCCAGCATCATACAAAGGGCAGAAGTTTGGTTAGAATTTTGTCAATGACTCTTGTATCCAGTTGGTGTGAGCAAAGACCCTCAAATACTATTAAATTCCTTAGTGATGTGAACCAGATGGAAAACAAAACAAAAGAATTCACAACTCATGTTAGACTGAATTGAATGTCTTTAATTTCACACAATGAATAACATATGAATAGGATTAACTTTTTTTTAATAGTTAAGTGCTCTATACTGTGCTAACCTGATCTGGTAGCGAAAAAGACTGAGCTTTCTTTTAGAAAAAAATGTTTAAAACCCAACATCTAAGACCATGGAGGAGCATGGCAGTAAAGCATGCCAGATGTATCTACGCCTCAAATAACAGCAAGTCCATGTTCATTTTAAATGTACAAAAATGCTTTATGAATAAAAACTGTTACAAAAAGAACATTTGAAACAATGTACAATTTTTCTTGCCTCTATATTCAATAAAATACAAATACATTTTTGTTCTAAAATATGTTTACATACAATCAAAGTAGAACATGCAAATTACACTTTAAAAAAGGCTTTTAAAAACCACTTATGAATACAAACTAAAAATTAGCCAGCACGACTTGTAAGACAATCTTGTGCCCCATTTTTTGAAATATATATGTACATATTTAACACATCATGTGCATTTATTATTTAAGAAATAGATTTTTTTTAAAAAGAAGAAAAAGAAAGACACCCACCTAGGGTGCAACTGCCCTTCCCTGTTGACTAGTAGGCAGTTCTTGTCATCCCCCCTTTAGTGTTTATTATACCTGGGCAAGTGGGCAAAAGAGATCCAGGAAGTTTCTTCCTTGGTTGATATGTGCTTCTAAGACTGTTCCCCAAATGACTAAGTCCAAGAGGGAAGGAAGACGCATCAGTGGCATGAACTCTTTTAAGAAACAAGAGACAGAGGGAGTCTTGTATTGTGGAAAGAAACTTTTGGAAACACCACGAAAATGCTACGGTATATTACAGTTTGAGTTTCTAGGCACTGTGATGACATTATCTGTAAGCTCTGGCATTTGGGCCATTGTGATTCTAGGATAGTGTTGAGAAAAAAGTCTATATTTATCTTTTCCATAATGAGAAGGACTAAAGATCCGGCAACAGAACACTTAAATGGCTTTTGAGGCATTTCAACTTCTGCCACCCTTTCTCTCTCTCTCTCTCTCACTCCATGTTACAGTTGGCATTTAAAGGCTTTGGATATATCTGTATAGACTTTAGACAGTTCCCAAGAAAATCTCCCCAGTGATAGGGAAAAAAATATTCTCCAAAAGCTCATTATCTGAGTATTGTTGGGTAATCAGCTAGGAGTAGGATTTTCTACTTAAGTCTAAAACCCAAATCCTTTATGATCTGCATGTAGAACACCACCTTATGCAATGATTCTGACACCACTTGCTTATCATATTTATAGACCCAGCAATGCGTAGAATGCAAATTTTGCCTCCCACTGAAATGGGCCTTCCACTGGAGGCAGCAGCCACGTTGACATGCTAATCTCCTGCCAGCCTTTAGTTATCTTTCCTAGGCTGTCAGTGGCTGCTGATTCCAGGTCCTACCAAGTTACAAACCGGTCCCAGACATGCTTTCCTTTCCTATGGCCATTATTACCTGGGCTGTGAGCAGAGCTGTGCTGTTGGAACCAGCTCAACTTTTCTTCCTCTAATTTGAGACGAGAAGTTGAAAAGCAGGTGGAGCTCTATTGCCACTTGATAATGTAGATTAAAGATCCAGGAGGATTTTACATTGGATTTCATCCTTTTTCTCACCCCCAATCAAGCTCCTAATATCATAAATTAGTCTATATCTGCTTGCTAAAGGTGCATATTTCAGAAAAAAATCATAATGAGATGAAATTTCAGGGGTATCATTTACAGATTATTTTGTAGAGCTCTGAATGGAGTCTCTGGCCTCACAAATATTTTATTTTCAAAGTAAAAATGCAGCCCCAAAAGGCAGTATTCGGTGACCAAAGACCTTCACCCTCTGTGTCAAGAAAGCTTGGTTTCTTTTCTGACTCTGCAACTAACAAGATGTGAAACCAGACTGACCCAGTGTGCAGCATGCACAGAAGACAGAGCCTAAAGGACAGGAAGTAGAGAACAAAGACATGGCTGTACCAATGAGATGAATTGTGTTGAGGGAAAACAGAAAAACAGGGGAATTTAATAATGAGGGAGGTGAAGAAAAAGCTGTGTAAGATTGATTGGACTCACTTCCACCTCCAAGTAATTGGCTAGCCTGCCTCTGCTTAGGTCCTCTGCTACTTTCCAATCTATTAAGATCCATGTGTGGATGATATGCATTTAACAAACATGAACATAGATTATGACTCCTGTCTAAGTTGCAACTACTGCAGTGTCTCTCCTGGAATATCCTTCATTGATTTAGAAACTTAAATCTATTGCAAAGTCACTTGGAATGTCTTCTCTATTAGAAGTTAATGCCAATTAAACTCTGGGTCCTCCTTTAAGATATTTCTAGAGTGACTGCTTACTCTCTGCAAAAATGTCATCTGCTTGCAGGTTTGGCTGGGAAGACCAGATGGCAAGAAAGAGGGACCAAGAAAGAATGAATGATTTTCAATATCCAACAGAAAGAGACATATCTGTATGGCTTAACTGGAATGAAAATGGTGATGGAGTAAGAGGGGCTGATTTAAGCCTTCCTCTCGGTGGCTCTGGAGCTACCCAAACCTGGAGTTGAGGACCACAAATTGAAAATGGCTGTTTTGATTTGGCTGTTCAACTTACATGAAATGTCAAAGGTTAACCCAGGTCACAAACTGAGTGTCTCAGATATAAGCTTTAGAGCAGTACAGTCATTTAAACTTAAATATTGCTAGGAATAGTTTGCAATTGACCTAGGATGTGAAGTCCATTGTGACGGTGCAGAACGGGATGGCTGTAATTTCAACCAGCCGTGGGAACCCTGACAGAACTGTGATGTCTACCAACATATTAACTTGGGATCTTGAAAGTTACATCTACAGATATCCTATCACTTATTGTCTTACACTTCCAATGACAAAAATTTTTACCTCTCTCTAAGGAAATAATATTGTGTTCTGAAGTGGTAACATAATTTCCAGCTGGTCCCAACCTCCAGTAAAGAAACTTAATTTTGAGGTAAACCAGATATTCTAATTCCCATTAGAAAATTTAATTTTCTTTCTTCAGTGTCTCTTTTTCTATAATCTACCATGCCAGGTGTTTGATGTCTTGGGGAAGGGAAGGGGAGGAATGAGGGAGGAAATTGAAAATACTTATTGGAAATTTCCACAGCTGAATGTATAAGAACATCTACGGCAATGGAATAGCTTCATGATCATTCTGAGTCTTCTTAACATGTTTAACCTGGGCTGTGGAAATGGATAACAGAGATGGAATATCCGTCCACGCTAAACCAATGGCTAGAGTACAAATTGGATGAGAAATGTACAGTTGAAATTGACCATTTAAAAGACGATTTGTCACACACAGTTTGCATCCATGCAGACTGATAGATTTATAATTACATTATGTACAAAAAATGTTTTAGTTTATTAAGGCAACCACAATTTGGATTCTTTGTCCAAGGTGGCTTGATACAGCAACTGGAGTGGTGATACCCTTTGAGAATTTTATTATTTTTTTTTCAGATAAGAACACTTATTCCCACTTGCTTTTTAAGAAATAATTACCTACAGACAAAGGACTTCTTCTTTGTTTTGTTTTTTTTTCTGACATCCTGTGATAATTATTCAAATGAAATAAAAAAAATCATGTACCAATGCATTGCTAGACATTTCTCTTTCTGGTGGGTCTGGGGTTTCAATATTTGGTGACTTGTTATCTCATTTTTTGTGGGGCATTGCAAACATTTTATTCTGCCTGTTCTCTGTTAATATGATGTAAGGATGAAAAAAACCTGGTCCACACCTGGGTCAACGTGTCCTTGGCTACTCACTTATTATTCATGGTTTCTACCAATACCGAGCGTCTGTTTCACAATGGGCATGACTCAGAGGCAGTTATCCTTAGAACTGCAGGTCAAGGGCTGACTTTACGCAGGTAGGGCTTACAGAACCTACAAGTGAACCGCGAACAGAAAGCACATATATGGAGAATACGATGTACAAAGGCAAAGCAGGAACATATGATGCAACCACTCCATGTGTCTGCGACAGTGGATATGAAAGCAGGTGTAAGGTCACCTATCACTAACATTCCATCTTTGATCACACGATTCCATCTGAGAAATTGAATTGTTAGCGGAAAGATACCGGTCACTCAGAGACGAGATTGGGTCTTTAAAGCCTAGTGGAGTTTGAAAACCAAAAGTAGTAAAATAAAAGCCAATGAAATGGAAGTGAGTTACAGCAAAGCCAGTTGGGAAATTCTGCAGCTTTTCTCCCCTTGGAATGTTTCCCAATTGAAGGTGTTTCCCCCCCACTTTTTTTCTTTTCCGGGCCAGTGAATGCTATGGGAATCCAGAGCCCACCTGTAAGGAGGGCAGTCAGGTAGCCACCGCGGCGCGGCCAGCTGTTGGCTGTCTCCTCCGGGATGGCGCTCACCTGCACCTACCCAGCCATGCGCACGGCGCCGCGGGGCTGGGAACCGCGGAACAGCACAGACCCTGGTTTCCCACCACACAATGCTTTGCTCCAGGGCTCCTGAAGGCTCAGCCCCATCCTCTATCCTGCTCCTGCCCACCCAGCTTCTGCAGAGAAGGGCTTGGGTGTCCGCCCCACCGGACTCACTGCACCTGCGCCGCGTCAGTCCTCAGCCACAGGTGCACACGCTCACAGACACCCTAGGGAAGGACGTCGCTCTCGCTCCCTCGGGACTTCCTCGGCCTTTTGGCCTTCACTTCCTCCTCCTGGGGAAGGGGCTGCGGCGCGGGTGGGGGCTGAGGCGGCTGGGCTGGAGGCGAGGGTCTGTGTCTCCGCTTCCCACCCCGCGGGGTCTTGGGCAGCGGCAGGGGAGGGGGAGGCGTCTGGGGCTGGGGAGACGGCAGCGGGGGTGGTGGTGGCGGCGGCAATGGGGGAGCCTCCCGGGCCATGTGGATGACCGCCTCGATGGTGGCCATGACAGCGTCCTGGCCAGTGGCAGCGGCGGGCTCCAGCGCCAGGGGGCTCAGGTTGGGCTTCTGACCCCTTTTGCTAGGCAGGTCGATGCATTTTTCCAGCACTGGCATTTGGTCTGTGGAGTCCTCGTCGAATTGGGTGGGCTGCTTCCGGGGCCGCCCCCGCCTCTTCTTGACGAAGTTGTTGCCAGTCTTTGACTGTCTCTGCAGCCGCTTAGCCTTCAGGATTTTGTTCACGTGGTCCAGGTTCTTCTTGGTGGACAGAATCTTGGTGTAGTTGCACATCTTCCTCACTTCGCACTGGATGGCTTCTATCTCCTGCCGCTTGAACCGCTTCTTCAGGGAGCAGCTGGCTGCAGGAGGGAAAGAGAAAGGGCAGAGGTGAGCCAGGGATGCCAGCTTAAACCCAGCCCTACACTTTATCCATGAGGAGCAGGAAGAACTAATGCTATGGGTGTGGATGCTGCAGCATCCCACGCATAACTTTTCTTTGAGCTTCATTATAATAAAAAGAAGCATTCCTTGAATATGATGTCTACATAGAATTTCTATCAACAACATTCCCTTCCTTACAACTGTTCTGCTAGACAGGCTGCTGTTTCCATTTTGAGAGGTGGAAACAGAGGCCTCTGCTGCTGAGATGAGCCTCCCTGGGGCATAGAGTCAATGCCAGAGCCACATTGTAAATTTCCTTCTTCAGCCCTCGGGTTTGCTCAGATCCAATGTGGCATCACCTCCTGCTCTCTCCTTTTTGTAGAAGTTGAACTGATCAAGGTGCACACAGCCCTGCATCTCAAACAATCTGCATCAGAATGACCTGTTGGAAGAGAGGCTGGGACTCACCTAAACCATGCAGCGGAATTACCTTCCTTCCTAAGCCTCCCCCTCCTGTGGAGTGAAGCTTCCTTTCTGGAACACACTAGTTAGATGGCACTGTTTGAACCTGTGTTTTCCTGGTCTTGATGTCCACTTACCTAAGTCCTTTGTAACCGTTCATGTCTGGGAAGCCCAAGGGAAACACCAGGCAGGTGTTTCTGAGTCTGTGACCCACCCCCTACTCTTCACTGCTGTTTACTAAGAGCTCTTATCACTCTTTTCTTGCCTTGGTGACCAGTTGTACCTGTTATTTTATGAGCCGGACTTCTCAAGAAGTCTTGTGCTGCTGCCACTATATGGCCTTCAGAACAGCTTAGCCTTGGAAGTTCAGACACCATTAAGTGTGAATGGCTTCAGGACATACACAGCAGAGCTTCCTACCCCTAAATCATTTTTTTCTGCTTTTGTGGTTCAAGGGCAGTTAGGTGTGCACATCTGTGTGCGTGTGCGTATACACAAACATCTACATTAATATTCTAATGTCCCATTTTCCATCTGGCTATTTCCTGTGACCATTAATATACCTAAGAAATGCATCCTCACTGAATTCTTTGCTGTGGTTTATCCTTAACATTTAACCTCAAAGAACTCATATGGAACACCCAGGCTTATACGGTAGTAGGGTTCAGTTTAGCTTTGGGCTGTTGCCCTTTCTTGTTATTTGTTTTATTAAATAGTATAGAAGCCAAACATATATCTGTAAGGAGAGGAGAAAAAAGGATGTCTTAAAAATGGATACCGCTTTTGAACTTCTCTTGGGTACTCCCACTTGATTCTTTTCCCAGCTTTCTTCCACTTCTTCATGTTGTGCCCATCACAGACCTCCAGACAAGTTTTATTTGAAGCTTTATACCACTCCATGGAGTGGGAAGCACTGAGTCCCATAGGCCAGGTCATCATGCTACTGCTTTTGGCCAAAGGTCAGTGAAAATGCCTGAACAATGAATAACTACTGAATGATCTTTACGATATGTTATAAAGGGCAAAGCAGAACACAGCCAAAGTAATCTTGTACCAAAATAACTTCTCGGGGAGTGGTCTTTGGAAAAGCAATTTTCAGTTCTCAGATGCTAGGACCAATCCTTACATGTCTTTGTGTCCATCACAGGGTCTAGCATGATGTCCCATACAAGAAGAGCTGAAATACTGTTTCTGGACTTGCCAATCAGTATCTTTCACTGCTGCCTCACAGGCGTGTTCTCTAAAGAGTTCCAATTGGATTTTAAAGTGACTGTGGAAATTACGGTGACACCAGAAAGTTAGCAGACTTCCCTATCAGAGTTACAGTAATTCAGTTTATAAGTAAACGGAAGCTAGTTAAATATTCCAGGAAAACTTCTAGCATTCTTTTTCTTTTTTTAAAGATATAGTTATTTTTATTGGCAATATCAACAGAACTCTCAAAAAACAAAAACAAAACAAACAAAAACCAATCAAATCAATAAAAACCTATATTGTCTTTTAATAGTCACAACTTTGTTATAGGTTCTGTACTTTTTACTTTATTTTTAAAAAATGATAAATGGGACAAACAATTGTACTAGCATAAACCCTAGAACTCATAATACAAATTTTATGCCTGGCTCTCTTGCACTCATCATCCACCCTGAACAAATGTTGTTGATGTTTTGATAAAAGGAAAACACAGATTACCACTTCATTGCTTTCCATTGCCTCTCTCTTTTCATGCTTTTAATTACACATTCACTTCACGTACATGAACCCATAGCTATAAAAGATAAGTGTTGATAATGAAGTAAGGCCGGGGGACCACGTACAGCCTGCTAGTGGGAGTATGCATTGCGATGATCTCTTAGAAGAGCAGTTAGGCAATAATGCTGGATTTGAGGATGTATATGTTCAGAACCCCAGCAACTTGAAGTCACCACTGCCTTCTTCATTTATGACAATAAGCAAAAGACACAGAAGAGCTTTTCTTAGGCCTCCGTCTATGTCATGGAAAACTGAAAACATCTAAATGTTAACTAAAAGAGCAATGAATCATTCAAACGATAGGATGTTATACATTTCTTATAATGAGTAGACTACATATAAAAGCCTCAACATGGTTAAATAAAAAAGTCTGATAAATAAGCAAATTACTGAATTGTATAAATAGTGTAAATTTAGAAGCATACAGATCATTTGAATTTTTGTTTCAGCTTTCATGTCCACTAGTGGAGATAAAAATAACTACTGTGTGCAGTAGAGGAGAGTTTAATATTACACTCCGAAACTACCCCATAGACCTTTAACAATTCTTCAGAATTTCCTGTGATAGGGCCCGGCAGCATGGCTCTAGTGGCTAAATCCTTGCCTTGCATGCCCAAGATTCCATGTGAGATCCGTGTCTGGGTTGCCCCACTTCCCATCCAGCTGCCTGCTTGTGGCCTGGGAAAGCAGTAGAGGATGACCCAAAACCTTGGGACTCCAGAAACTCCATGGCAGACCCAAAATAAGCTCCTGGCTCCTGGCTTCAGATCAGCTCAGCCCTTGCCATTGCGGCAAGTTGGGGAGCAAACCAGTAGATGGAAGATGTTTCTTTCTTTAGCTTTCTCCTCTCTGTAAATCTGTCTTTTGCGTATATCTGTCTTTTGTCTCTTTTATATATATATAAATTTTTTAAAATTTTTCCCACGATAGTGGGAATGTTCTATAGCTGAGGTGTTCCACCGTAACCATTAGCCATAAGCAGTTACTAAACACTTGGCATGTGGCCAACATGACTGAGAAACCAAATTTTTAAATTCAACATTAATTTTATTAGCTACATGTGGCTAGTGGCAACTGTAGCAAGCAGCCCAGCTCTAGACACAACCATCTGCAAATACAGACGCCAGAAGACATGGAGATTCATTTGTTCAGATGTAGGCTGTGTAAAACTAACCACTTAGCATCTTCAACACATTCATGGGTGGTAGATGGAAAAAATAAATTAAGAGATGGAAGGGCAAGTGTTTTGATGTAATAGGTAAAACTGCTGCTACCTGAGATGTGGAAGCCAGTGTTGGTACTGGTTCAAATCCCAATTGCCCCACTTCTGATCCAGCTCTCTGCCCGTGAAAAGTAGCATAGCAGCCCAAGTTCTTGGATCCCTGCCACCCATGTAGGAAACCAAGAAGAAGCTCCTTTCTCGGGCATGGTCCAGGCTGGCTGTTACTCCAAGGAGCAATCCAGCAGATGGAACCTCTTTTTCTCCCACTCTGTCTCTCTTTCTCTCTCTGCAGTTCTGACTTTCAAATAATAAATAAGTATAGCTTTGAAAAAGAGAAACAAGACATAAAATGACCTTATCGGCATGTTAATTTCAACAAACTGTTAAGAGAGATTAAGAAATAAACAGAAATCTGAACTTGGCATTATGATAGTATATGTTATTACTTTTCAAAGGAGGGATTATTGCATCGTGATCATGCTTTCTTAGGGTACCTATCATTCAGAAAGACGTAAATACTAACAAATGAAATCATGACGTCATATGGAATTAGTTTTAAGGTAAAGAAAGGAAGAAGTAGTTGTAGATACTGATGAAACAAGCTGGTGTCTGAACTGCTACTTACCAAACTGGTCATTGGGTGCTTGAAGTTATTCATGGGATTTTGCCTACTTTGGTATATGCTTGGCATTTTCCATCACACAAGATTAAAAAAGTTCTAAGAAGTGGCAAGTAGCAATACAACTACTTTTCTAAGAATCCAAGACCCTCTGGGAGCGCTCCGGTTTTCACCTACATAATGCTGGGAGGGAGAGACATGCTCGGTGGATGGCATCCCTCCGTCATCTGCCAGCAAGATCATAACAGCAGCTGCCCTCAGGCTGAATGGGACAGGAGGATGAATGAGTTCTCTGCGGTTCAGGCTGCAGTCAACTGCATAAACAGGCATGTCATGTGTCTCTTTCTCCATTGGTGGTATCAGGTGTTATGACTTATCCATCTTTCTTTTGTACGTTATCATCTTCGAGTTTTTCGCATCTACTGAATATCTGAATTTCATTTTGTCCTTATGTTTATTATCCCAACATTCAAATCTGCTTCATTATCCCCACATGCAAACAATAGCAAACTGCAGTGCCATGCAGTGAAAACCAGAAATCAAGGACAAGTGGGATAAACCTTGAGCTCTCGTGGGTATCTCTTAGGTCAACTGCTAAATTGGGCAGTTGGACTAGATGGTCTTGAAGTTATTTGAAGATTGCTGCAATTCTTTCCCATACTCATTATCAATAGCCTTTCCCAAATGTGGAGTGGCTTTCTAAAACACATTTCATCTCATAATTTTGAAATCCTAGTATAGGGGGAGGAGGACTGTGGACTTGGCAGGGTTTGATATTCACAAATCTCTCTCCTTATTGCTTATGATTTCACTGTCTCTCTAAATGTTTACAGATTTTTCTCTCTTCAAATTGTTTCATTATTGGACAGTAATTCCTGGGCTCTTGCTGCCAGATTGATTCCATATTTGCTCTCTTTCCTATA